AGAGTTTCTTTTTTAGGTAGATTGTTTTAGGAAAGTGTCCTTGAAGTAGCAATAATTTGATTATATAAAAGAAGAGTAGAACTTGTGAGAGAATGGTGGTGCTTCAAAGTCGACTTGAGGATTCAGCATCTATTCAAGAATGAAGTAAGCGCACTGTGACATTTATTTTAGGAGGAATTTATTCCAATTGTGATAAAACCAGTAACCCTGCAATGAATAATTATTTGAGGCCTACTGTAGTGTAAGAACAATGTACACGATAATAATTATAAGATAAATTTACAGGGCTGTAAAAACGAGGTCTAGTTTTGCTAAAATAACTGCTAGCCCTTATATATCAGCTATTGAATATTGGTCTGGTTTAAATGTATTTTTCGCTAGCTTGTCAGAGGAGGGTGTAAAATTATATTGGTGAAGGTAAACAGTATAGTAATAGGATGATTAAATGCATTTAACTTAAATATATAATTACGAAGAAATATACATATCTTATTTTTGGAGATTTCAAGGCTGCGGCGGGCATAATTAAATAAAGAAAAACTTTTTTTTTCTGAAATTTTAATTTTTGCATGGTGTTTGGTGTGCTACAGCAATTGGCCAAAAACATCATTATTGGCGGGCGGCGGCTTCACTATACACTACAAGGTATAAACAAAATATCACCGTATTAATATAAATATAGAGCAAGCCTACCTACTGTACTTTATACAGAATGTGGAAAAATAAACTTCAATGCATAGATCCGTAATTAATGTACTAATTAGGCAACTTGAGTTCAAAATATTTAGGTTATTCTATTTTAATGATACAAAGTACTGTAACGTTACTTCAATAATGCACTCTGCGTACTGGCTAAATTGATTGATTTCATGTATTCCTTTGTAACATACTTAACGTGATTGAATTGCATTCAGTGTAAAATTAGTTATCTTGTCAATTTAATTGGATGACTCTGCTGTTGAGCAATTCGCTATGACATACAATACCATGATTTGGTACATTAAAACCAGTAACTTAGCCAAGTCTGCTCTGTGAAGCAACTTAGTCGTGAAAGGTGTTTTGTTGACGCTAAATGTAATTTAATGATAACTACTGTAGTCCTTAGGTTTATATGCATCATCGATCGAAACAATTTTGGCATTTGAGGCCTGTATATGTGGGAAAGACAAGCCAAACCAGTCAATGGTCGCAAAAATCGGTTTTTAGTTATTCAGTGTTAAACAGTAAATTGAGAATTATAAAATGGTAAAAGAATCATTTAAATCCGACATTTCCTTATGAAGTTACAACATTTGAACATAGAGCTATTTTAACAAAAATATTTGAGAAATGAACCTTCAAAGTTTATGATTTCAGTCATTTCTCAGGCAAAGATTATCACCAAATTGTTAAAAATTGTTGTTTTAACATTGAAAATGGGGAAAATAACATAGCATGATGTATAGATATTAGTTTAATGCAATAAAATAGATTTCCAAAATGTTGACATTCCAACATGCTTTGGCCATTATCTGTGAACACAATTTGTGACGAAGTGACTGGTTTATAGGCTTGTCTTTATTATATCATAGTTTATATGTACTATATTATAGTTAACTTTTGTTTTGTTATTTTAGAAGTGGTACTAACGATGATTAAATGCTTCAGTGACACTAATAATTTTTTATTTTTTTATTATTCACCTTAATTATTATTTCTCAAATATTTTTGTTGCATCGAATCAACAATGCAAACACAGCCAACGTCTGGAATTATTATCACATTACAATAATCTATCATTTTTAAAATAAATAAATAAATTAATAAGTATTAGTATGAAGTCATGTTTGTGATCTGGTATAACATTTATTTTAGCACAGTTCACTGGTTAAAGCCCCATTCCCGCCAAAATTTCACTAAAAATGACTTTTTTTAGAAAATATGCATTTGCATTACTCCAATTATTATAAATCATGGAAAAATATTGGCATGAATTTTAGTTTTACGCAAAAGAATTAAAAAAATGAGAAATACAGACT